CCTATCCCTGTGTGCCTTGTCCTCCTACGACTTTATTTATTTATTTATTTATTTTTTTTATTTTATTTTTTTATCTAACCGAGTTTGAAAGTTGGATTTCGATTGTTCAAAAGTCCTACTTCCAAGTGAGACGAGAGCATAAAAGCCTCTCGTTCTTTAATACCGAAACTTTTGTGAGTCTGAACATATATTTTCCAATTTTAAATAGCTAATCAAAAGGACACATCAACCGCAATAAAATACTGATAATTGTTCGATGGCTTATTATTAGTTGATCTCTTAAGCAAAACCTTTGGGTAACGTGTCAACCTTATACTGTAGAAATAGGGCAAACATTATAAATCCACATAAAATGATCTTTTGGGCTCTAGAAATCCTCCAATTAATCACTTCCACCTCAACATATATGGATACGAAAGATTCAATTTGTAATAGATTGACTTAATAAGCACTATTTTTTAACTTTAAATTTTCTTATTAGGATAGAAATAGATTTTTGGATCAATACCAAAATTGCATCAATTAAAAGGCACGCTTCTTTAAATGTTTAAGATACACCCATATATAAACCTCACCCTTAGTAAATTTATTTCTAGAAATTTGTAAAAATACCTATAAAATATAAATTGTTTAACATTCATCTCACTAGCAGTTATTTTGATAATGTATTTTTTACAAGTATTTTAAAATTAAATAAAATATATATGGATAATGTATTAAATTGTTCATCTCTCTTAGGAGTGGCAACAGACTCGGATCCAACCTGGGACTCGACAACCGGAGCCGTCCCAAGTCCTGATATGGGTCCAAAAATTGGACATGGCAGGTCGGGTCTTGGTCCAAATAGACCTGAACACTATTTGGATCCGGGTCTAGGTCCATGTGGACCCGACCCGAACCTTACTTGAATAGTGTCATTGTTTAAGTAATATTTAATATATAATAATTTAATAATATTTGAATAAATATTTATTAAATATAATTTATAATTTTAGTTATAACAAAAAAAAAAAAGTTTATATAGAGTCAAGGCTCTAAACAATCAAATTTAAGCCTATATCAAAGATTTCATTAGAAGAGGTTGTTTTGATGTCCAAATATCCTCAAATTTATCATCTCGGCATTAATACGTATGGACATGAGAAAAAATGGATTTCAAGTTTTGAAAATAGTGCATCTTGTACCGATTTTTTGGCCGTTTTCAAGATTTTTCAAGTTTTCATAGATCTGCTTGATCTATAGTATTTTTTAAGCTTTAAATTTTATAACTAAAGATAAAAACATATTTTAAGGCTATCACAAAGATTTTCAATATTAAAACCACAAACAATGATTTCATGCAACCGTTGTAGAGTAATATAATGCAACAACCTTAAAAAACCATCTTTTGGCCATTTGTTTTATCCAAATTTTGAAATATACACTCTTTTCATTCTAATGAACAATCACAAAAAAAAAAAAAAATTGACACATAATATGGAAAGTATTTTTTTAGCCCAATTAACATAGGCCGTTCATTTTGGGGAGATGCTTAGATCTAGGCCTTAAACTAAGTCGTGGTAGGCGAAGGCACGACAGGGGATAGG